ATAAATTATTCTTGACAATAGGGTATCGTTACGCACTTTTTGTGTCTCGCATCTAGAAATATTCATGTGAGGGACGCCAACAAGGCTGGGCTCCAACGAGCCTCACTCCGACTTAGGATGCTTCCGAAATGTTAGTCGGCTGAAGCGGACTTCACTTTCTATAGCAATAAATTGCGGCAGCTTCCATTTCAACAATTTTCTAAGAAAAAAGTCTTTAATGTCTCATGCTTACACTTATTCATCCGCCCGTACGTGCCCTGGCACGGTGCCAGAGGTCCACCGAGCTGCACCAACAGATGCTGGTCGCACCTCGTGTGGGACTCTACAGCGCTTGCGCATTTCTTGCACAGCGTCGCTGTGCCCAGCAGGTCCAAACATGCAAAGAGGAGGATGCGCGCCACGCGTTCCACTATAGTCAACCTAGTTTCAATGGGCGCAGGAGCTTTTCGAACAAACTTCGGTATTTACAAATTGTACATCAACCAAATAGCGTAGGCTATACAGGCCGACGTTCAACAGTTCCGCGTGGCTCACGGTGAGCAGTTTTGTTCATGCGCGGGGATCAGTGACGTCACACGGCACATGGTTGGTGCGCCGAAGACCTGGAAGCGTCTTGAGCGCCATGTCACTAGTGTGGTGGGTCTTGATCCGCGGCAGATCGCTCACTGACTAGTCCGTCTCTCCACTCATTCATGATCCGTCCGTCCTTGTTCATCCGTCCGTCTATGGTTCGCCCATTCATCTAATAAGGGAATGTTCATTTGTCCGTCTGTCGTTCGTTCATAGCTCAAGCTACATATAGCCTGGGATAGCCGAGCTAAGCCACTACTGAACTTTTTAACCTCCTGGTCTTCGACGTAGAACGCAACGTCATGCATATGAACTTACCACCGCCGTTCTAGCCAAGACATTGTGGCCCCAAGTTGCCTGAATCATTCAGGAAAGCCTCTATGGTCGCTCTGGTGGAACTGTACAGGTCGGTATCTTATTCGAATAGCTTTCCAAGTGACCTACACAATAAAACATACTGTGAAATGAAAACACTTTTCCATTTGATCAGTTAACCTGCCGAATCCGAGAGCTCCAATGGTTGTCTGGTAGTTAAGGTGCTCTCCTGCTGCCCGCAGGTCGTGATCTTCGATCATTAAATAGACTAGATAAAAGGAAAACATAATGCTGCTGATCCCACGTACCTGGGAATAAAGTTATGCGAAGCTTGCGCAGGGAAAGTTAGCGTGTTGCGATTTAAATGCAAATAATTTCTTAGCGAACTTCGACGACTTTGGGCGTATCTATCTATCTATCTATCTATCTATCTATCTATCTATCTATCTATCAATTTATCTATCTAGCCGCCAACGACTTTTAGCTCTTCTGACCGTTTCAATATTGATACCGTTACCGAACTTGGTACGGCATAACATGACTGTACGAAGAACATATTTACCTAGTCGTAACATGACAATCATGACATGTATGTAAGGATTTACATTTCGTGGTCCTGCAGCTCTTGCGGTGGTTTCCTTCACATGGCATGATGCAAAACTGGCATGGTATGACATGATTGCATGGCGAACCCAAGCGACAGACCGTTACATGAAAATTATGATATGCGTGTCATGTAACAACATGACTACATGCCCCACTCATGATGAGCCCGCGGCCGTTTTCCTAGTGTCGCATAAACCAAATATCGTATTACGGTACGTGAATGGGTGACGAAAGTATGATACTGGTGGAAACATGACAAACATCAGATACGTGTCATGTAACAACATGACTTTATGCTACACTCATGATGCGCTCGTGGCTGTTTTGCTAGATTCACATGTACCAAACTCGGTATTACGCGACGCAAACGGACGGCACAGGTAAATGACACATCCAAACATCATAATCACGACATACGTGTCATGCGCCCGCGGCCATTTCGCTAGCTTGACATATGCCAAATCTGGTATTACGTGACGTCAATGGATGACGAAGGTATGTTACTAGTGGAAACATAATAATCATGAGATGCGTGTCATGTCAGAGCATGACTATATATCACAGCCAAGGCACCAATACGTTTCGACGTGACGCGGTGCGTGTTCTGCGCGGCGTTGCTTTGACGCATGCGCGTTTCAGTGCGTCTGGCATCCTTCCGTCACGAAAAGAGGGAGACGCAGTGTTGTCTGGGTAACGCATCGGCACGAAATGCAGCATGTCACAATTCACGCCGGTTGCCCTCGGGCCGCGCCAAAGGGCGCTGGTCTCGCCGGTCGTGCCTGGCGTCAGACTATAGAGGGCTCGCGTTTTGCTAACGTAGCGTCGCTGTGCCCAGCGTGCGCGTGCGCCAACGCTGCAATGGGGTATATTGGGCACTTCATGGTGCGCTCGAGGCCGCTTTGCTAGCTCAAAATGTACCAACTTGGGGGTGTTGCGGGTCGCGGCGACCGCAGTCTGCGGGTAGCGGGGCCGATCGCCGTCGCTCCGTCGAGCCAAGGACTAGGGGAGAGCTTTGAGCAAACTTAACGGATTTATTTACATCTTTGCAGGGAGTTGTCGAGATGACAGAAGAGAAGAGAAGAACTAGTGGTTTCACAAACCACGAGCGTGGTGGTTGAACTTTACATAGTTCAGAGCGACGTCCAGCACTCTGCCGCGTCGTTTTATGCCCTGTCGGGCTCCTCCTCTACGAGTCGACCACCAATCACGCACACACAGGTGAGGGGGGGGCGAGCATGCAAGGTCCACGTGAACACTGCACTTTGGTGGCGCCAGCAGGGCTCTTCCTCGTCGTGTGTGAGCCTTTAGTCGAGAGTGCCCACGATCCTGGCCGCATACTTCAGAGGGTCCGCCGATTTTGTTCGCTCAATTAGTGGGGCGATCCGCGGCAGCCGCCGCGGTCTCCCCCAGGAAGACGCCGTCCCTGTTGTCCTCTTGGTGGCGTCGCGGCGTCTTGGCGACACTACGTCTCGTACTCCGGGACAATGCCTGGCGGGCATAGGCAGTCAGCCGATCGGCTCCTTGACAATGGATTAAAGAAGCGCCGCTCTTTCGAGGGGTGCCCAGTTCGTGGATTCCTCTGGGGAGAGCCCTTTGACCAGCGCCGTCGTCGTCTGCCGGTTAACGCGCTAACGATGCGTGACTGGCCCAGGCGGGAGAAAGAGTGGCGGCTCCAAAATCCTCTTTGGCGACATTCCACCCCGTTGGCGCCACTGTCAATCAGTAGGCGACGTCTCGTGGGGCCGGCCTCTGTTGCTTCCTCCATCCAGACGTGGCGAGACTGTCCTTTTTGCACTAAGCCGGCGTGGCAAATGACTCGCTGGGTCAAGGCATAGCCCGATCGCTACAGCTCCTCCGCCGACGGGAAGATCTCGGACGTCGGGTAGTATCAATGCTCGACGGGAGAGATCACAGTAACCGCAGTCTCCCAACACCACTGAAACCACAAAGACCAACCACTAGAACCAGCAAGTGCCGGCAATGAGTTTTCGGCAACCAGGTCGGTCTTTCAAATGTGCCACAATGCACCTACGCTTTTTTTTTCTTCTAAATGGCAACCACACTAATACTCTTGCCCATAGCTAAAAATTTTGATTACTCCAAATACCCCTTAAAATCATTACGGAAAACGTCCCTCAACGTTCCGTATAACACGACGCTCAGCTAAAGAATTCAACTGATCCCTGAGCACATACCAAAATAACAAAGGGTAATTCAATTTCGTATACTAACACGCTTATTTGCTGAATGTAGTTTCATGTCAGCCCATGGTTTTAAAGAACGCACAAGACTTTGCTGTGCGCTCTAGCACGACATCTTACTCACGTCCAAAGAGCGCTAGCATGCCCACACGCACCTAACCATAGGCGATATCTCTCTCACCTAGGTATCCTTAAACCCTCATCTGAACGTGAATTTTCTCAAGGAACAAACGCAAGAAACAATCACACTTGAAGTACACGTCAGGAGTGCGTAACAAAACAGGCATTAATTTTGCGCCAAAACCCCTGTACCGAATGTTTCTCCCCCTGAGCATTTCGAAAATTGCTTTGTTTGGTTTTATTCTAAAACCTTCCCAAACATTGCTAATTTACTCTATTGAAGACGGCATGCGATGCCACGCTTAACTAAAGGGCACGAAGCATAGAAACTCCGGCGCCGCTCGACTACGCTACCGCGCTTTCAAAACTAGCGGGCGTACCAAATCTTCATTTGCGACTTGCGTGCTCGTATTTCAAAAAAAAAAAAAACTCCTTTCACGCAGTCGGTTGACTGATGCGGGCCACTGCTTCCTCATAACGCTGAGCAATTCAACTCGAAATTTTGACAAAGCTTACACGCAAACAAAATCTAGAGGGAAGAAAAAAGTGTCCAAGCAAACTAGCTGTGGAGATGACACAGGAACACCACTTTAAAACCAAATATAACCAAACAAGTATGTTTCAAAATAAACTCCTGTGTCCGACTCTCCCTCCTACAGCTGTCGCTCCCCCTTCAGCCGTACACGCGGCGGTCGTGGTCTTCGACTCTGAAAACGCGCGAGACTACAACGTGCACTAGCAACAAGTTGAACTGCAGCGTTACGCCTCATTCGCGATTTTGGCGGGCTTCTGTCAGTTCGGCGTAGGGGACCGGAGCGATGCGTGGGACAGAGTGGCCATGCCTTCTTTGGACTAGCTCGCGTGTGGTGCTTAGCTATTGTGGCTTTTCCTTTTTTTCTAGGACCCCTTCTACAATCCCGTTCCCGCAAAGCTTTAAATCTTCTGCGTACATTCCGTCGCGGGGATGCGCGCTGGGGCCTACCCTTCCGCCGTTGGAACCTTACTTTAAGCCACAAAGGACCTTTCTTTGAACTGGCTGGTAACCTAATCTTGGGCCGCTCGCCCGGCTGATTGCCCCCTCTTTCACCCCTTCGCTTTGTCGCTCGCGTACGCCTCTCTCGTTTCCGGCGACGTCTGCGACCGACCTGTCCTGCACCGCTGGTGAATTCGTTTCCGGTTGAGTTATCAATGGTTTTACCGCTCAAGGGTGCCTCTGCACCACCTGCCACAGTGTTTCGGCACTTTGATTTCTTGGCTCTGTCGCCCTGTCTGGCCGATTCACCTGTGCTAACGCTGTACTCAGGTGCGCCCTGAAACGTTCTGTGGATAGAACGGAAAGACCGGCGCTCTCCACGCAATTCCATTCGCGAACCCGCTTTCCTCTTACTTTTCGTCCGGTCGCTCGGACGCATGCAATGTAATTTTGACGCTGCTGCCAATCTCTTATTTGCTACGCTGACAGGTTTTGCGCCTTCTTTTACACGCGTAGTACTGTTCGTCTTTCTCGCGGATTTGCGACGTCTCTTTCGTCTGCGCCGCTTTTTGCGTGTCACTTCCGAGCCTCCCGATCGCATCTCACGCTCGTGAACCCTCTCACAGCTTTCGTCAGCTGTCTCAGTCGCGCGGTCTAAATGATTTTTGCCCTGGTCATCTTTATTCTCACCCTCTAGACCGGCGGACTGGTTAACACAGTCAGGAACAATGCAGCTGTTTCCCTTCGAAAAATCTTGCTCGCATTCCTGAGAGCTGTCTGCAACTGCACTGATACCCTTCTCTACGCTCGCTGCTTCTGAGCTTTCTCCGGTGTTCTTGCCTACTTCGACCTCATTTGCAAGATCCATCGTCGCGACAAACACAGTTGAGGTCTGTGCCAGATTGTCTACAGCTATTCTAGCTGTTTCGCTAACAGTTAACTGGACAAGCACCTCGTCGCACTCGCTCTGGCCTTCGTCGGCCTCTCTACTCAGCGCAGCCTCATTCGCAGCACTCAAACTCGATTCGCCTTTGAATCCGCTGCTATGTTCACACGTGCTAGCCTTCTCTAAAGCTCTGGGCTGCACCTCGCACTTCTCGTGCGCTACACTTGCGGATGGCTGAATCTTCCACTGCGTTGCCTCGACTTTTTGTTCCGACAGTTCAATATCTAGGCTGAGTGCTCGCTCGAACTCTTCACCTCGCTCCCGTTGTTCTATCTCCCATTTGCGCTCACTATTCACCTTGGTGCTATGAGAGACACGCGGACCTCTCTCAGGCTTGGTTTTAATACCAGCACACCGCCGCGCGTTCTTCAGCGGAGCGTTCATGAGCTTGCACTCAATTTGCTTTCTGTCAACTCTGATGCCGAAGCACCGCAGTAAGGCTGCCTTAGCTACATTGTAACTGTTGAACTCGTCCTCGGAAAGGTACCCTATTCTACCAATTAAGTCGCATGGAAAGACACTCAATAAGGTGATAGACCAATAGTCTTCGTCGAGCCCTAGGTCTGTGCAAACATGCTCGTAAGAGGTTAGGCAACTCTCTATATCCTCGCCCTCTTCGAATGGATGGATCCTCGAATTTACTTGAGACCATCTAAGGCACTGTATTGATCTTCTTGTCTCTTCCAGTTTTCCCTTTAGGGTTTCCTTCCACGGCTCTCTCTCTTGCTCTAGCCTTTCCTGACGCTTTTTCTCGCGCTCCTGTTCCTCACGCCTTTCCTGACGCTCCTGTTCCTGTTGCTTTTGAATCTCGTTCCACGTTTCTTTAATTTCTTCCCTGGTCAGATTCAAGCCCTCGATAGCGCCAACAATTGCGTGTTTCTACATCCCCGTATCTACTTCCGCTCCCAGCTCCTCCCCCAGAATCAGGAGCTGATTCTTCAACAAACGCTTCCAATCCATGACAGAGAACTAGTGTGGTGCAGCTCACTCTCTACCCAGAAGTTCCGTAAACAACTGCTTCTGTGGTAGCCTCTACTAGCTAAAAGATTGCACTTCTATCTTATCAGCCTGGCAACCAAAAAACCAAAGCCAGCACTCACCAGTCCACAGCTGCCAGTCTCCATGATCTCGGCGTGTTGTTCATTCTCCGTCCTCCAGGCTCAAATCCAACCGCTTGCCATCCAGTTGTTGCGGATGGAAGAGGAAGTTGCTGCTGATGGCATCCCACCGCTGCCAACCAGTTGTAGCGCGTCGCGGCGACCGCAGTCCGCGGGTAGCGGGGCTGATCGCCGTCGCTCCGTCGAGCCAAGGACTAGGGGAGAGCTTTGAGCAAACTTAACGGATTTATTTACATCTTTACAGGGAGTTGTCGAGATGACAGAAGAGAAGAGAAGAGCTAGTGGTTCACAAACCACGAGCGTGGTGGTTGACCTTTACATAGTTCAGAGCGACGTCCAGCACTCTGCCGCGTCGTTTTATGCCCTGTCGGGCTCCTCCTCTACGAGTCGACCACCAATCACGCACATACAGCTGAGGGGGGGGCGCTCGAGCATGCAAGGTCCACGTGAACACTGCACTTTGGTGGCGCCAGCAGGGCTCTTCCTCGTCGTGTGTGAGCCTTTAGTCGAGAGTGCCCACGATCCTGGCCACATACTTCAGAGGTCCTACCCGCTGACCACAAGACCAGCATTGGGTACCTACATGGTGTCGACGGGGAGCCTGCGGTGGACAGCCTGCTGCCTGGGATCCAGTCGGCCGTTCCGGTGCTCTCTGCTGCCAGGGAGGGGCGAACCATGACGCTCCGCTTCGCCGGCCCTGTGCCGCCGGAGCACGTGTCTCTCTTCTTGGTCCGTTTCCCAGTGCGGCCAGCCAGACCCCGCCTTCTGCAGTGCCGGCAATGCGGTCGGTTCGGCCATGTGAAGGAGAGCTGCAGCTGGCCAGGCAGCTGCATCAGATGCGGCCGGACCCACCCTGGAGAGAGCTGCAAGCAGACCCGGTGTGTCAACTGCGGGGGCCCTCACTCTGCAGACACCCCAGAGTGCCCTCGGTGGCAGGAGCAGCGGAAGATTGCCACAATCATGGCATCCTCCCCAACCATCCTCTCGAGGCGCACAGTGGCAGCAGCGGTGCGAGAGGAGATTCGGGAGGCGCGGACCTTTGCAAGCGTGGTGGAGGGCCACCCCGCGCCGCCCCCCCCTCCGGCCAGACCCATGCCGGCGCCTCGAAAATCTCGCCGCCAGCCACTCCAGGGACTGCAGTCCACCAGCGCTGCTGCCCCTATGGCCCTGCCAGTGGCCACTGCTGTTCCTGAGGCCCCTCCTGCTGCAGCTGCCACTCTCGCGGCCCAGCCTGCAGCTACTGCCCCCGGAGGCCGGCCTGCTGTGCCCATGGCTCCTGCGGCCCCGCCTGCTGCGACAGTAGAGTTGCCTCCAGCTGACCCGGCCTACCAAATCGTCGCCACCCTTCTGAACACCCTGCGGTCTGTGGGAGAGTCTCTTCCCCTGGACCACCCTCTTCGAGCCATCTGCTTACAGACGGGAGGCTCTCCACTCCCCACAACCAATCTTGGCTAGCCCCCCACCCGGTACGAGCCGAGAGCGACGCCCTAGCGTTCTGCAGTGGAACGTAAACTGGCTGGGGCGGCGAAGAGATGACCTGGCAGAGCACTTCCTGCGGAGCGACTACGACGTGCTTGCACTACAGGAGGTGTATGCCCAGGCGGAGGACCTTCGCCTGCCAGGGTACGTTGGATACAGCAGCAGGACTGGCTGCACTCTGGCGACCTGCCCTGATGCCCCCTGCCTGAACGACAGCCACCAGCAAGGACGTTCCCGGTGTGCTATCTACGCCACGCGCGAGCTCCCGCAGGCTGAGGTGAAGGTGGCTGACCTGGCTGGAGGCCCCTTTGAATGCTGTGCCGTCCGCATCCCCATCGGGGGGCAGGACACCACTGTGGCCAGCATCTACGTTCGGCCAGGCCAGCCCTGGGACCCCAGATGCCTTCGTCAGCTGGCGCATCGCCTGGGCAAGGAGTTCCTGCTTTGCGGGGACGTCAATGCGAAACACCCAGCATGGGGCGGCCGCAGGACTGACGCTCGAGGCAGAGAGCTGCGTGATGTCCTCCAGCAGCTGGGGCTGGCGATCCTCAACTCGGGTGCCAACACCTTCCTCCGTCGTGGGCAGCAGGTCACCAGCACTGCCATAGACCTCAGCGTTGCCACGGAGGGTTGCCAGTATGCCTGGTCGCCATCCCCGGACACTTGGAACTCGGACCACCTGCCTATCCTGCTGTCTCCCTTCAGAGGTAGGGCTCCACGGGACCGCGAGTACCGCGTGGTGGACTGGCAGGTCTACCGGCGACTACTCCAGCAGGACACGAGCAGCGGGGACCTGCTGCAACTGGTGGCCCACAGTGCGAGGGCAGCAACGGTCACTGCCAAGGTTCCGCAGAGACAGCTTGTCCCAGACGTCCGGCACCTGGCTCTGAGGGCGGCACGGCGACGTGCAGAGCGGCAAGCCCTGAACAAACGCCAACCGGAGCTCTGGACGGTCTTCCGGCGAATCGATGCCGTCTGCAGACGCCACGCACGCAGGCGCCGGAACCAGGGCTGGCAGGGCGTGTGCGCCTCGATCAACAGCTCGCGGGATGGGACGAAGGCCTGGCGCCTGCTGAAGTGCCTGCTGATGGCGCCCCAGGCCTTGAACCAGGGACTGTCCCTGCCTGTTCACCTGTCGACCACGGCTGCGCACCTGGCAGAACGGCTGGCTGACCAGTTTGCTGCCAGAGATAGAGCCCCACTGCCTGCTGCACCACCGCCGGCTGCCCTCCCTTGCCCTACCTCTTGTCACCATCCCAGATGGGTGTCCGCGCAGGTGCGGGAGCTGTGCGAAGAGCCCATAGCGATACATGAGCTGGTGGCAGCCCTCGAGAGGACCAAGCGACGAAGTGCTCCAGGGGCCGACGGCATCCCCTTCCAAATGCTCCGCAACCTGGATGGAGGTGGCCGTCAACGACTCCTGGAATACTACAATGACGTCTGGTGCACCGGAGCCTTACCCGAGTCCTGGCAAACTGCGGTGGTGGCGCCAATCCTGAAGCCCCGGAGGAAGGCCACGGCTCTCTCCTCATACCGGCCAGTGTCTCTCACCTCCGCGCCCTGCAAGGTGATGGAGAGGGTGGCTCTGGAGAGACTGGAGTGGATTGCCGACCACCTGGGCTTCTTCCCGGAGCAACAGACGGGCTTCAGGCGGCACCAGTGCACGGCAGATTCCATCTCGGACGTCGTCGCTACCCTCGAGGACGCCTGGGGCAGCGGGGACGTGGCCATGCTGCTGCTGCTGGACGTGGAGAGCGCCTTCGACGGACTCCCACACGTGGTGGTCGAGGCGGCCCTGGACCGCCTCGGCATCAGCGGTAGCCTCCGAGGCTTCGTGACCGCCTTCCTGTCCGGGAGGACCTTCCGCGTCCGCGTTGGAGGGGCAACCAGCCAACCCAGGGTCATCACTGCTGGTGTCCCACAGGGTTCAGTACTGAGCCCCTTCCTCTTCAACAACGCACTGGCAGGACTTCCGGCGTCCCTCCCAACAGACACCAGGTTCCCGGCCCGCTGCTCTATCTACGCAGATGACGTGGCACTCTGGGTCCGGGGACCAAGGCGGTCCATCCCCGCCATCAGGAGATAACTGCAGGCGGTCCTCGATGAAGTGGTAGCCTACCTCGGAGGCATCGGGCTTAAGGTCTCCGCCACAAAGACCGAGGCCCTGCTGATTCACCCGCTGGCAGCAGCACGCACCCACGTGAGACGGCTGAGGATTGGCAATCGCAGCCTGCCTTGGAGGTTGGTGGTGAAGTACCTGGGCCTCACCATCGACCACCGACTCACCTGGATCCCGGCTGCCAAGGCTGCTGCCACCAAGGTGCGGCGCGTCCAGGGCGCCATCAGCAGGCTGCAGCTGCGTGGCCGCGGCTGCTCCACCAAGTGGGCCCTCCGGCTCAACCAGGCTGCGGCGTCCTCGGTCCTCCTGTACGCCTTCCCGCTGGTGAGCCTGACACCGGCCAGGAGACGCCTGCTGGAGGGACTCCACAGGGGTGCACTGAGGGCCATCCTGGGGCTTCCCAAAAGCTCGCCGGTGGCAGCAACTCTCGCAGAGGAAGGAGAGTGGCCCCTGTCGTTACGTATGCTGCAACGAGCGCTGGGCCACATTGACCGCCTTCACCGCGCCACCGACGGCAGGGCCCTCCTGGAGCGTCTCCGCAGCCAGCCAGGATCACGGATGGGAGGCCTCTGCCTGCTGTACCACCAAATGATCCCAGATCCGCCAGTTCCGGTTGCCTCTCCACCGCCTCACCACCAGCCACCAGAGGTCCACCTCTGCTTGGAAGGGGCAACCAAGCGACGAACGCCTGCGGCCGCACTGCAACAGGCGGCCTTCTGCAAGCTCCAGGAACAGCTGGAGGGACGGCTGCAGGTGTTCACGGACGGATCTGTGATGCCAGACGGTACCGCAGCGGCCGCATGCGTAATCCCGTCCAGAACCAACAGCCGGCAGTGCAGGCTTCCCTTCCCGGCGAGCTCCACGGCTGCGGAACTGGCTGGACTGCATCTCGCAGTAGACCTGCTGGCTGAGGACATCCCCCTTCAGCCGGTCACGGTTCTATGCGACAGCAAGGCGGCCCTGCAGACCCTGGCCAACTCCCGCCGTGCCGGACTGACGGCCTGCCTCCTGAGAGCCAAGGTTTGCGCCCTCACCGACGCCGGGGTGTCCGTCTCCTTCCACTGGCTGCCCTCCCACGTGGGCATCGCTGGAAACGAGAAGGCGGACACCCTCGCCGAGGCTGCCCACCAGCCTGGTACTCCCTACTCCTGTGCCGTGGCGGCCAGGGACTATTCACAGGCCCGTCTCAAGAGGCTCCTCATCACAGTCCACCCAGACCCGAGGGTGGCCGGCGGGCGAAGACCAAAGCCTCTCCCAGAGACGGGCCTCACCAGGAGAGAACGGGCCTCCCTATTACGACTGCGGACTGGCTGCGTATGGACGGCGGCCCGCCGCCACGCCAAGGGCCTCTGTCCCTCCCCGGCCTGCAGCCGCTGCGGAGACCCAGAGACCCTCGAACACCTCATTTGTGCCTGCCCTGGCTTAGCACAGGAACGCTTGAGGGCCTACGCGGCCTACAGGAGACAGGGTCTGCCCGTCTCCACCCTGAAACACCTGCTGTTCCCGTCTCGTCCACATCCAGCAGCACTCCGCAGCCTGGCGGAGTTCGTGGAGGAGTCGGGAATTGCCGCCTACCACTGATCCCAGGAGTCATGCTGCCCTTGCCCTTGCCGACGGCCTGCTACTCGCGCTGAAGCGGCCTGGACATCCCTCTCTACACTCCACCACTATTTCTCCTATCCTCTTTCATCCCCCTCTACCCCACCCAAAGGCACTGCGCCGTGTCGCCTGTAGGCAGACAGAAATTAGGTGCCTTTTTCCTTTTCCACATGAACCACTACCACCACTTCAGAGGGTCTGCCGATTTTGTTCGCTCAATTAGCGGGGCGATCCGCGGCAGCCGCCGCGGTCTCCCCCAGGAAGACGCCGTCCCTGTTGTCCTCTTGGTGGCGTCGCGGCGTCTTGGCGACACTACGTCTCGTACTCCGGGACAATGCCTGGCGGGCATAGGCAGTCAGCCGATCGGCTCCTTGACAATGGATTAAAGAAGCGCCGCTCTTTCGAGGGGTGCCCGGTTCGTGGATTCCTCTGGGGAGAGCCCTTTGACCAGCGCCGTCGTCGTCTGCCGGTTAACGCGCTAACGATGCGTGACTAGCCCAGGCGGGAGAAAGAGTGGCGGCTCCAAAATCCTCTTTGGCGACATTCCACCCCGTTGGCGCCGCTGTCAATCAGTAGGCGACGTCTCGTGGGGCCGGCCTCTGTTGCTTCCTCCGTCCAGACGTGGCGTGACTGTCCTTTTTGCACTAAGCCGGCGTGGCAAATGACTCGCTGGGTCAAGGCATAGCCCGATCGCTACAGGGGTTACGTGACCTCAATCAATGACGAAATATATGACTGGTGCAAACATATTAATCCTGACACACGTGTTATGTAAGGAACGACAACATACCACGCTCATAGCGTGGTCGCGGTTGTTTCGCTAGCCCCCCAGATACTAAATTTGGTATCACGTGGAGTGCATAGAAGACGAAGGTAAACGACACATCCGAACAGGATAATCATGACACGGAAGTCATGGACAGCATCATTTGCTTCCACCTCTTAACGTTGTGCTCTTTTTGAAGTGACATATCAACCTTCCTCATTTGTGTTTCGCATATGATCTATTCCCAGTGCACTTGGGATCTGCCTTTTTTTTATTAGGCGAACGTCAGCAAATGACGCCAAATATATGTACAAATGTTGCGCGCACAGACATATGTTGAAAAGTTGCAGATGCTTATAAAGCCAATTGTTTGCACTTGCGCAAGGATGTGGACTGGTACATGCGTATTAGCAACACCAGAAGCTGATATGAAGTGCTGATTCTAGCGGAGATGCTGGCCCTGGAAACTGCTATACATAAATCAATTTCAGTGCATGGAACTAACCACAATTGAAGTTAACCCAACGTGACGGCTGTATTAAAGGAGTAGGCAGCACTGCAACCACTATTGACGTTTCATGAAGATTAGCGTCTATTTGAAAAGTAGTTCCGAAACCGGAAGTAGCTCTGTGGTAAAAGGCATCATTGCCACGAAGAATGCTTGGGTTCGATTCCGGCTGGGACCCTGAAATTTATTCTTTGCATTCGTCGGGTTGATGCTGCCAATGTCGGGTATTTTATAAAGCTCGTGCGTTAAAATTGTCCATGTGTGTTCTCGCCATTCCTCGATATATACTAAGCGTCAATCATCTGTGGCATATACCCGCATACCAGTGGTGCATACCCACCCGTGGGTATGTGCCACTGTCTGGCGGGAAGTGTTTGACGACGTACGTGACTAGATTGGGACATTATTGATTTCTTGACAAGCTGTCATAATCGTCAAACCATCTTACCCTTTTGTGCTAATTATTGTTCTCGCCAAGTTAACGGGGTGACCAAGAGCACCCAAACGTGAACGGCTAGATAGATAGATAGATAGATACGCTCAAAGTCGCTGAAGTTCGCTGAGAAATCACATTTTAAAAACATCGGTAGATCCCACGTAGAGTGTAAATCGGTGATATGCGAAGCACGAATGAGGAAGTTGAATATTCACAATGAAAACAGCACAACGTTATGGGGCCGTCGTAAATTCTGCCGTACATGATAGCAATGTCATCATTATGATGTTTGCGCCTAGCATTTCTGCTAGTTTTCCGTTCAGTTCACGTAGTACCAAATTCGGTATATGTGAAACTAGCGAAACGGTCGCAAGCGCACAATGAGCGTAGCATGTAATCATATTTCACATGACACCCATGTCATGATTATGATGTTTGGACGTGCCATTTATCTTCGTCGTTTAAACACGTCACGTGATAACAACTTTGGTGTATGTGAAGCTAGGGAAACGGCCGCGAGCGCATCATAAGCATGGTAGTAGCCATGTTCTTACATGAAACGCATATCATAAATGTTATGTTTGAACCAGCCATATACTTTTTCATTCGCTGACGTCACGTAACGCCAAATATTGTATATATGAAGCTAGCGAAATGGCCGCGAGTGCACTTAAAGCGTAGCATGCAGTCATGTTTTACATGACACACATGTCATAATTATCATGTTTGGACATGTCATTCACCTTCGTCACTTATTCACGTTATGTAATAACGAATTTGTTGTCAGTAAAGCCAGCGAAACGACCGCAAACGCATCATGAGCGTGGCATGTTGCCATGTTCCATGGCACGCATATTATGACTATCCTGTTTGCACCACACATATACCTTCATCTTCCATTCACGTCACGTAATAGACCCTTTTCGAAAAAGAGCGCCCCGAGTGCTACGGACGTGAACTAAAGTCTGCCGCCATTGTGAGGGCACCGCAGCAGACGACGCAGGCTGTGTGTCCCAGCGACGCTGATGCGCGTTTCTTGCAGTGCACACAAACACTTCTTGCGTTCCTGCAGGGCGTGGACCGCGTTGGGAGGGCACGCCGATGAGAGTCTCTTGCAGACCAGATCCATGCATTTCGATTCATAAGAAGCCTAACTGCTCGTCCAACCCGTTGAGGTGTACAAAAGTGTTGCTCATATGGCAGCGGCAGCAGGTCAGAAAGCTTATGGAGAGTTCTAGGAGCTCGTTCAAGCTAGAAAGCGGTGCGATTGCAGTGGATGATACGGAGAACTAGCCGCCAAAACAAACATCACAGCTCACGCATTTGACGGCTCGCTTTCCATGCTGTCATGATGGCGCTAGCTATCCCATGCTTCTTTACGAAGCGAAACTGACGAAAAGCTTGCCGTCAGGGGGCGTATTTATGAAAAGGGTCTATACCAAACTTGGTATATGTGAACCTTGTGAAGCAACCACGAGCGCATCATGAGCGTGGCATGTAGTCATGTTCTTACATAATGCACATGTCATCATTATTATGTCATATGCACTCATCATCCATTCATGTCACGTAGTACCAAGTTTGATGTATGTGAAGCTTGCAAACCGGCCCTGCCGTGGTGGTCTTATGGCTAAAGTGCTTGGCTACTGACCCTCAGGCGGCGGGATCGAATCCTGTCTGCGGAGGATGCATTTTCGATGGAGGTGAAAGCGCTTTAGGCCCGTGTGCTCCGATTTGGGTGCACGTTGAAGAACCCCAGGTGGTCAAATTTTCCGGAGCCTTCCACTGCGGCGTGTCTCATAATCATATGCTGCTTTTGGGATTTCAAGCCACACATATCAATCAAGCTAGCGAAACAACGGCTGGTGCATCATGAGCGTGATATGTAGTCTTGGTTATACATGACACCCATGTCATGATTTCCCCGTGAGAGCCTGTTACTTATGTGCGTCCCGTAGTCATGCCATGCCATCCCAGTTTTGAGATAGGTCATGTGAACGAAACCACAGCAGGAGCAGCAAGAGCCAGATATATAAATCATGACATTAATGACATTCATATCATGATTTTCTTGTTATGACGGGTCACTTATGATCATCATGTCGTCACAATATGCCATACCAATTTCGGTATGGATCCCCTTATCCAAACGGCCAGGAGAGCTAAAAGTCGTAGGCAGCTAGATTGATTAATTGATTGATTGATTGATTGTCCGTTTGTTTGTTTGATACGGTCAAACTCGCCCAATTTTGCTAAGAATTGATTCGCATTTATTAAGAGAAAATGTTAGAGTAGCGTGTACTAGGAACGATCCCCGTGTACATAGATACTGAGGAGTTTTAGCCGATCGTTTTTCGCCTCCCGCTCCGCTCAGCCAGTCGGTAATGGCGCCACAGCACATGCGCTTTACGGTCAGGCGCTGAGCGTGTGAGCGGACCGTCGTAGCGAGCGAAGGATCACGTGACGCGTAGAGAAATGACCAAAATGGCAGCCTTATGTGCCGGAAATGCAGTGATTGTTCGGCAAACACGCAAGCAACGACGGCACTTCGAGACGCACAAGAATCTGTGCTTCCTCCGAGAAGTCGTCGCAGTCAATCTCTTCAATCATCCGTGCATGTGGGGTTAAGTTCCACGAAACGATCTAGAGCTGGCATTTGGCACCATAAAGAAGCGTCTCGAGACGCTTCTTTGATACTTCGTCAAACATACATTGCGAGTCTTCGATAGCAAGTGATTCTATGTAACAATAGTAACAATTTAGTATTTCACAGCATCCACCTATTCAGAAAAACTTTCTAGTTTGATTTGCCACAAGGAAGCGCGGTGAATGAGCTGCCTCAGGGCAGGGCGTTTGAATTGCGTTTGGGCTGCCTTGAAGGCTTTGAAAAAGACCAACTGCTAGTGAAGGTGACAAAAAATTCTTTTAAAAAGTTCTCATTCGTCAAACGGAATATAATTCACACTCTTTCAAAAGAGAAGTTTCAATCTTGCTGCAAGATAAGAACTATGTTTATTTTCTTTCAACACAATTTCATGCTCCGATGGGGTCGCGATTGCGTTGACCAAACGACGCTTGGCTAAAACTGAAATGGTGCGTTGCGCTGCGGTAACGTTTAGCGTTTCAGCGGAACGAGGAACGTAGCGCGAAAGCAGTCTGCTAAATCTCCCTATTTAGGTGCATGTTAAAAAACCCGAGGTGATCAAAATTTCCGGAGCCCCCTACTACAGCGTCTCTCATTATCATATCGTGGTTTCGGGTCGTTAAACTTA